CTCAGAGAGGATAGAGATAATTACCGTTTGAGATCCCTCCCACGTTAGGTCCAGGAAGTGGGTGGCGGTGCAAGCGGTGGGCAAAGAATTTACCAGGACCTGTTCTCCTAAGTTAAGGGGAGGGCAGGATGGTGCTCTTCCTCTCTGGGCTGGGCCTCTGTTTTTCTTTTTAATAGGAAATCATGGGGAAGAAATGGCCTCCTCTATAGCTCCTCCAAGGGGCTGAGGCCTCAATGCTGAAGAGAGTTTGGTGTCCTAAGTAAGGTGATGGGTGACAAGGTGATCCAGGGAAGCCTGGCCCCCTAGGTGAGTTTGTGGAGATGGTTTTTTGTTCAATATCTTTTTTTTTGGTACTGGGGATTGAACTCGGGTTCTTGTGCTTGCAAGGCAGGTGGCGGAACCACTGAGCTAAATCCCCAGCCCTTGAGATGGGTTTTTAAAAACTCTGTTGGCCCTCTTTACTTTCCCTGAAGATCTGGGTCTCCAGGCACAGTGTTGGTGATGCTATGTACCCAGAGCTATCGAAATGTCCTGAGGAATTTCAGCCTGGAAGGGTGAGCCACTGTTGCTCTGGAACCCTGGGGAAGGCCAAATTGAGGGAAGATCTCATTTATTAGGGCTCAGACCACTTATTGGGCTTTTCAGTACGGGGCTGCCTCTATGCATCTAGTGAATGTGTCTACCCAGACCAGGAGGACTTTACTCTGAGCAGGCAGGTAACATCTATCTGCTAGCCTTCTCAAGGGTATATCCCTCCTCATTGGGTGCCAGCGGAGCCTTCCTGTGAAACAGAGGGTTTGTTTTGTTTTTGTTTTTGTTTTTTTTTTTTTTGGAGGCACAATTGGCATGACCCGACAATTTGATCTATAGTAAGTTTAATGTCTGACCCAGTAAGTAGTTGTTTGCCATCTGATGAGTCCTTTCCTTCCCTAACGGGAAGGATTGTTGAAGGACCTTCCATTGGGCTGCTGTCTGGAAGAGCGGTTTTCCCTATTTGTTTGGAACCATCGCAAGGGCTGTGAGTGCAGCCCTTTGCCAAGAGCCTCTTAATTTTCCACCTGAGCATACTGGGGCTCAGCCTCTCCTGGGGAGTGCTCTCAGAGTAAAGGATTTAAAGTGGTGTTATTCAGTAGGGGTTCTCATGCAACCCCTCGAGCTGCAGTGTTGACTGTCTCATTTCCATCTGTTACTTCATCCACTCCTTCCTAGTGCCCTGTGCAGTGGATTACCAACTATCTCCTGAGGGAGGAATAATGCACATACCAGGTGGTTGATTTCTTGGTGATATTTTCCTGGGGACCCTGTGGCTGTGAGGAACTTCTGCTCTTCCCAGATGGCAGCATGAGCATGAAGGAACAGGAAGGCTTACTTTGAGTCTGTGTATAGGTTATCCCTCTTCCCTTGCTTAGTCCAACAGCCCAAGTGAGAGCAACTACTGCTTGCTGAGCTCTTGTTCCTGGAGAAATTGGTGAGTATTTTATGACTTTTGTGGAAGACACCACTGCATATCCTGCCCTTCAAACACCCTGTTCTATGAAGGAGCTCCCACCTATGAGGAGTGTCCAATCTGGACACTAACAAGTGGTCTCTCAAATTTCCCCTTGAGGCATAACTTTCCAATACCACCTAGCTACAATCAGGGTTTAATTCCCCTTGTTCTTCTGGGAGAAAGGCAGCAGGGTTTAGGGAAGGGCAGGTTCTTATTCAAATGGCAGGTCCCTCCAGCAGCATAGCCTGATTCCTCAAGAGTTGGCTGTCTGAGAGCCAGAGCTTCCTTCAGAAGACAGCAGTCCTGAGATATGCTGAGGAGAGGACACAGTCAGTTCCTTACCCAAGGTAGCTTGGTAGTCTCTGGAATTAACAGGACAATAGCAGCAACTGCCCAAAGACAAGCCAACTGCCCTTTGGCAACCACATCTAGCTCTTTGCTTAGATAGCTGACAGCCTTTTGTTTTGGGTCCTGGGAACCACAAGGGAAGCCCCCAAGCACCTTACCCTGCTGAACCATTATGTCAGCCCAGTTTGGTCCCTGGGACCCTCATCTCTGGGGACAAACAGACTTCCAATGGTCCCCTTGGAAATTAGGACAGGGTCTGGCAGAAGCCAGTTGCATTCCTTTAGGAAGTGTCCCAGCTTTCCACACTTATGGCATCTACCTGTGGAAGACTCAGGAGCCCCTGTAGGGTGAGTCTGTAGGGCAGCCACTGTGGAGGTGGCCTCATTCCTATCACTCAGGCCTGCTCCTTGACATCCTGTTGATCTTGATCAAAAAAGACCATTTTAGTAGATTATCTATTGTTAGCAGATTAGTCTGGTTCCGCAGCTAGCTTCTGTGGCTTTCTCTGCATGACGGGGGTGGACTAGGTAATTATGTCTCAAAATAAGCTGCCCCTCAAGTGACTCAGGTCACAGGGAGGTGTGTTTGGTTAGAGCTTCCTTGAGTCACTCGAGGTTGGCTGAGGGACTCTCGTCCTTTCCCTGGATCACCTTAGATAGTTTGGAAGGGTTTAGAGGTCTGACTCAGGTTCTGCAGAGGCCTTCTAATACATGGTTCAGGAAATTTCTGTCTCCAGACCCCTCATCCCACCAAGTCATGGGGTTCCACTGGGGAACTGCCAGGAGCCCCGCCTGGATCTGGGCTTCACTTGGTAGCAGGGCCAGGCAGAGTTCATCCCTGTACATCTGTGCCACTCTCAGAGCTGCCTCTCTCTCCGAGTCAGAGAGGGTTTAATTCTCTCCATGAAAGTTTATAGTTATGGGATAGATATTTATCAGGGTCCTCTGAGATCTTCCCCAGATATGCTTTGATCTTTTGGAGGTCTCCCATGGGGAAAGAGGTGTGAGCCCATGTAAGGGTCCCCTCTGGACTTGCCTCCATCACCTGGAGGGGAATCAAAGTGGGGATCCTTGCTCTTACCCATGAACTGGTGACCCAGGATAAAGTGGACAGAAGGGCTCTTTAGGAGGGTTCCCCTGGGAGGGGAGGGAGTGAGGGCAGGAGGGCCCTGCAGGAGAGTTTTCTGGGGGAGGAGGGTCTCCCAAAGTTGGGGGCCAAGGGCTGTCAACAGGGCTGAGTCTATCCAGCATGGCCTGCAGAGCTCAGGATTGTCCCTCAAAGCAAAGGCATAAGGCGCTTTGGGACATTTACCCTGCTTTTTGCAAAATAGGTCTAGTTAGAGGATTGTATTTTACCTGATGCTCCCTCCTAGTGGCCATTTTTCTTCATCATCTAAAGTGTAGCCCCACCGTGCACACGTACGGAAGGAGACTAGGCACCTGCCCTCCAAGTCTTGAGGATCAAACAATGCCCACTTCTTAAGGGTGTAGTGCAATAGGGAGGAGCTAGAAAGCTTTGAGTCTCAGTGTCCCCATCTGTAAAAGACACAGGGAGGAGAGATTCCCCTCCATCCTATTGCTCTCTTCTCCACCTCTCCTTGCTCAGGAGAGGAGCCCTCCACAGGTCCAGCCATGGGAGTCACGCCATGTGCCGATGAGTCCTGGGAGGGGGCTTCTGGGGCCCGATCCTCAGGATGGATAACGGCCAGGGTAACTTACCTCTTCAGGGTTTCCAGGAGTCACAAAAACCCTCATGAGGATTCAGCCACACCTCCAGTCAGGAGGGACAGAGATGCTGGGTGGTCACTGTCAGAGGGGCAGGAGCTTTTCTCTCAGGACCTGGAGGATCTGCTGAATATAGTCTGTATCCGAATGGAACCAGTATCAGTCTCTGTGGTAACCGACCGGACTGCAACTCGGGAGGCAGGTCCACCCCCTGATGCGGCATCTATGAGTCAGGGTCAGAAGCTGGCTCTCGAAGAGCACCGGAGAAGGTTCTGGACTAGAGCCAGACACATCTCCAGAGTGTTGTGATGGGACCAAGGCCCAAGGATTCTCCCTCAGTCTTAATGGAGGTTTATGAGCAGGCTCTGATGGAGGGGTCCCAGGTCACCTGGAAAAGGGGATGCCCAGAGAGCACCTCTGACCTCTCAGAGGTGTGCGGGCTGGACACAGTAGAGAGTGCAGGTTTCTCTAGAATACCTGGTCAGGCTATCAGGACCCAGCTTCCACTGAAGGATCTCTGAGCTCCCAGCAGGGAGTAGCTCTGGCCAGACTCTCAAGTTGTTGCCTGACTTTTACAAGTCCCATACATCCCAGAATCTGCCTCAGAGAGGAATCCAGCTCACTGTCTGGCCAACATCTCCAGCATCCCTGGGAATCAGTGGAGCATTGCCTGGGAGTTTCTGGGGAGCCTGTCAGATTTCAAGAGTGGCTCCCATCTGGTAGCTTTTAACTGGCAGTGGGTGCCTGCTGTTTTCTACAACATAAAAAGGAAAGAAAAAGAGTGTGTATGAGAGCCGGCCTTTCCACCACACCTTCCGCTCCATGGAGAAGTTGAGCATCATGTTGGACACCAACAATACAACCAGTTTTTCCCTCTGGGCTCTTGTCTGGGGCACAGTGAGGAAATGAGGCTGGCAGCCTAGCAGTGGGGAATGAACTGCGTGTGTTTATTAGAAAGAACACAGAAAGGCTCTGCCTAGCCGAGGGGTCCTCTGAGAGAGGGTAGCACAGAAGCACCTACATGGAGGGGCCCAGGTGCAGCCTTCGGGGCACGAAAGAGGTGATTTGTCACTGGCAGGTGTCACCAGGTGTGACAGGTGTGTGATAGTACAGGTATGCAGTGGCTGCTGTTGCTATGCTTCTTGTCATCAACAGAATGCAAGGGGTTAACTTTGTCCCTCGCATTCCAATTTCCTGAGGCACGCAGCTCAGTTTGCCCCCTCCCCGCCCTAACCTGCCTACCCTTCCCCTCCCTCCTGGCCTCACGTCCCAGTCCCTCTCATAGCATTTCTGATACAGCGTTTGAAATGTGCGCTAAAGAGCCTCTAAAACGCCCAGGCTGCACGTCGCATCTCTGCTGGGCAGATGGACGTTTCACTGGCACATTTCGCCAGAGAGGATCGTGCTTCATTGTGGGATTGTTGTTTCTTCCATCACAGGGACCGGTGGGATGGCGACCTACCCAGAGGAGGCTGAGCTGGAGGCTGAGTCCTATAGGACCACCACCTATGACTATGTGTTTGCACTGCCTTGTTTCAAAGTCAGCATCCGGGATCTGGGGGCCCAGTTCCTGCCCCCATTGTATTCCCTGGTGTTCATTGTTGGCCTCCTGGGCAATGTGGTGGTCATAGTGATCCTCACGAAGTACAGGAGGCTCAGAATCATGACCAACATCTACCTGCTCAACTTGGCCATTTCTGACCTGCTCCTCCTCCTCACGCTTCCCTTCTGGATTCACTATGTTGTGTGGAAAACGTGGGTGTTTGGCCATTTCATGTGTAAGCTCATCTCTGGGTTCTATTACGTGGGCCTGTACAGCGAGATCTTCTTCATCATCCTGCTGACCGTCGACATACCTGGCCATTGGTCATAGTGATCCTCACGAAGTACAGGAGGCTCAGAATCATGACCAACATCTACCTGCTCAACTTGGCCATTTCTGACCTGCTCCTCCTCCTCACGCTTCCCTTCTGGATTCACTATGTTGTGTGGAAAACGTGGGTGTTTGGCCATTTCATGTGTAAGCTCATCTCTGGGTTCTATTACGTGGGCCTGTACAGCGAGATCTTCTTCATCATCCTGCTGACCGTCGACAGGTACCTGGCCATCGTCCACGCCGTGTTCGCCCTGCGAGCCCGGACTGTGACTTTTGGTGTCATAACCAGTGTCATCACCTGGGGTCTGGCGGGGCTGGCCGCCCTCCCTGAGTTCATCTTCCACAGGATCCAGGGGGACCTGGAAGAGCTTTTCTGCAGCCCTGCTTACCCGGAGGGTGAAGAAGACTACTGGAAGCTGTTCCAAGCTCTCAGGATGAACGTTGTTGGCCTTGCACTCCCTCTGCTCCTTATGGCTGTCTGCTACACAGGAATCATCAAAACGCTGATGAGATGTCCCAATAAAAAGAAGTACAAGGCCATCCGGCTCATTTTTGTCATTATGGTGGTCTTTTTTGTTTTCTGGACACCTTACAACCTGGTTCTGCTTCTCTCTGCCTTTCAAGTGACCTTGTTGGACACTGACTGTGAGAAGAGCAAACAGCTGGATGTGGCCATGCAGGTGACAGAGGTGATAGCCCATACCCACTGCTGTGTCAACCCCGTCATCTATGCCTTCGTGGGTGAGAGGTTCCAGAAGTACCTGCGCCACTTTCTCCACAGGCATGTGGCCGTGCACTTGAGCAAATACATCCCCTTCCTCCCTAGTGAGAAACTGGAGAGGAACAGCTCCATCTCCCCATCGTCAGGGGACCCGGAACTCTCTGTTGTGTTTTAGATCTGGTGCAGAAAGCTTCCAAAAGATGGACTGGGCAGAAGACACAAACACAGTAAGTCAGCTGCATTGACCTCCCGCCAGTCCTTTGAGCTCACGGCACAACCGTGACGCTCTCGAAATCTTTACAGTACACAGTGCCCCAGGATGTGCTCTCACCCCACACTCATCCCCAGAGGCCGGGCAGTTTCTTCTGTATCAGCCAAGAAAACCACTGCCTGATTCCCTGGAGAGTCAGCTACATTTTAATGCACCTAGATGCTAGTTACTATGCTCGGCTGCAGACACATTGCATAACCCAGAGCTTTACTCCAGCCAGCTATCGACAAAAGGGAGACATTGCACAGATTGCAATGCATCAACTGCTTTATCTCCTGACATGCTTCACTCTTTCTCTGCTTAATGAAAGGCTCTTGTGTGGTGGTGGGGAGGGTATACGGGTAACTATTCCCAGGCAATGTAATAGTGTGCTGTACCAGTTCTACATACTCTAGGTGGGTCGTTGATCTCTTGTTTATACCAAATGACCCTATTTCCCATGAGTGAGTCCCACAGCCCAGGGAGGTGCACACTGACCTCTTAGATGTCAACTTCTGGAGACAGAGCAGGCCAGGGGACTCCCCTACACCAGAGTCCCGTGTGTGCCTGAGAAGGCTGAGAATAGCGTTCTCCAACTCTAGCTCAGTGGCGATCAGCCTTGCCCTAGGACCACACTTTGAGGCCGAGAGGCTCCCACAGACATTCGCCCTTTGCATCGAAACAGGGAAACACCAAGGCCCTCTGGAGGTAGCTGTGCCAAGGATAGTAGCCTCTAATGTCAGTCTCCAGAACCAAGTGCTCTAGTGGGAATTTCTGGTCCTCCAGTTTTACTCAGCTGAGCTTTCCTCGAGTATTTAATACCATGTACCAAAAGCTGTGGGAGACACAGAAACAAATGGAACTTGGGTGAGGTACATCCTAAGGGGGAAAATGATGTAAAAGCATAAAAAAAGAAATGGCCTAAGTCCTCTTTTCCTTTTCTTCTTGCTGCTTATGTCTTCTTAGGAAAACAGGTTCTACATCTCTGTTAAACATGTGCCTCTCACTAGAGAGCATCTCACTGGACAGTGTCAAATGAGCCCACCAGCTCTTCATCCCCGTTAGGTGACAGACGCAGGAGGCACAAACACTGCTTTAAAATGAAATTTAAATGAAACTGTGACAGCTGAGCTTAACGGTCAACTTGATTGACTTTGGCGCTCCTGAGGGGATTTGCAAAGCACACTTCTGAGTGTGTGTACATGGATCACGGAGGCGTGACCTGGGGACTACATCTGGTCCTTCATTCATTCCTCTCTGACACTCTTCCTCTGCTTTGCTTCCCCATCTCCATACACCAAGTAGCTTTACTCTGCAGCATCTTCCTGCCGTCATATTCCAGCTTGGAGCCAGCTGGCTGTGGGTGGAATCCTCTGAAACCACTAGCCAAATAAATATCTGTTCCTTTAACTTGTGAGTGTCATGTATTCTGTTCAGCGATGGGAAAGCTGACCAATATAGAGGATCGGTATGGAAAGTAGGATTATTGCTGTATCTGACCATGTAGTTTAGAAGCCTTTGGAACTGGTCTGTGGGAGGAGTTTGGACCGGTTTGGAGATTTGACCAAGAGAAGCTCTAGGCCAGTGCTGTAAGAGCTTGATAGGTGATTATGCTCAGAGCTCTGAAGACCAGAAAGCTGATAGGAATGTGGATAATAAAAGCGAGGCTCAGGAGGTCTCAGTTGGGAATTAGGACTTTATTTGGAAGGAGACTAGAGACCATGAGTGTTACACTCTGGCAAAACAATTTTGCTCATTTCCTGAGACGCCGCACAGGGCTGAAATTAACCACAGTAGACTCACTGATCTGGTAGGGAATATTTCAAGATAATCCAGTGTTCAGGCTCTGGCATGTTTACATCCATCTGCTATTAGCCAGATTTAAAATGAGAAGTGGGAGCAAAAAGCAGAATGGAAATATTTGAAAATCTTAAATTTTAGCCTGAAAGGGACCGTGCATGAGGAGATTGGAACTATGAAAACAATATTTTTAGCAGGGCATCTCAGGAATCAGCAAGCCCCCCCCCCCGCACCTCCTCACACACACAGGCTCAAGGTGCAAAAGTGTAAGGCTTTCGTTTGAAAAGAGAGCCTGTGGGATTCCTGTTATAGAAGGGTCATCCGGGGCATTGGTTCACCATAATTCATTTCAGGTGCTCAGCCATCCAGCCAGTCAGAGGTCACTGCAGCCAAGGCTGGCAGATCTTAAGTGTGCTTATCAGGTATTTTGTCCAGAAGCTGAAAAGCTGATGAATACATAAACATAATCCCTAACCCCATTAAACCTTCAGTCCAGTAGAAGGTACAAGGTAGGAACAAATGAGTCCAGTACAGAGGGGTGGGAACTTACTGCTATGACTGGGCCGGGAAGGGAAAAACCATTTTCAGTGGGAACTTGAAGGAGGGAAGACTTCATGGAGGAAGTGGCTACTGAGAAGTTCTCTGAAGAGCAGGCAGGATTTCGAAAGGGAAAGATGTGGGAGAAGACACTTTAAGTCAAGGAAATGCCCAGGCCCAAGGAAGGCGGGAGGACATGTACATGTGTCGGCAGCAGGGTGGGAGGAACAGACTGGTGTGGGTCATGAATTTCAGACAAAGTATCATGGGCCTTGTTAGGAAAGAACAGGAAGGGTTTAGAAAAGGGAATAAAAGGATAAACACCGAGTATTAGGAAGATTAATTTGGTGACACGGAGTGCATGGGCCGGAGGTCCCAGAACTTCACAGGGAGGTAAGTTAGGAGGTGAATGCAAATGTGGAGGCAAAGAAAGATCATGGCTGATAAGAGAGGCTCCAGGAGCCCCCAGAGAACAATTTGACCACAAAATAGCATGAACGAAGAGTCAAAGCATAGGAGCAATATATGGTTGGTTGTGAAAATCAAAGGACAAGACAGAATGAGTGTATTATGTGTTTACTGATCAGCTTTGTGCTACTACAGTGACATGCCTGAGGCAATTCTCTTGAAGAGGAAAGGTATTTAGCTCAGGTTCTGGAGGTTCCCGTTTAAGATCCAGTAGCATCATAACTTCAGGCTTCTGGTGAGGGTGTCAGATGGCAATAACAAAGAGCCCAAGTTGGAGTGACCCTCTTACATCGCGAACCAGGGAGCTGAGCAGAGGATGGACCGGGTTCCATGGTCCCTTTAGGGACACCTCATCCCCCACCCCACCCCCGACCACAGGACCTCTCCTAGGGCCACCCCCTGAAGGTCCAGAGCCCTCCCAAGACTGCCACCCTGGAACCAAGCCTTTAGCACCTGCAGCTCTGGGGACACTACCCACATTCAAAGCATATGAGTATGCTAAACACACACACACACACACACACACACACACACACACACACTTAGATGTACTTAGATGCACGGACTGTCTCCTAAAGGATACCAAAGAAACCAGTACCGATTAAGTGTCTTTTGGAGGGACATAGGCAGCCAGAGAACAAGACAAGGAGGGTGGTCTTTCCCATCCTTTGGACTTCAAGCCATGGAAACATGCTACCTATTCAAATTAAACCTAAGAATTATATCTTAAAAAGTAAATGCTATGCTGCTATTCAAATGTTCAGCTATAGTGTCCCACCATAAATTAACCTGCAACCTGGCATGGATTCTCTGACTCCTTTTGACTCCAATTTCTTCCCCCATATAATAAATAATGAAGCTGGATCAGATCATTTCCATGAGCCGTGTAGCCCAAGTGGACTGTGATCTTGCTAAAAAATATTAGGATCTGGAGGTGCATTCGCCATTGTTCACTAGGATGGATGTACTCAGGTGGCGCCTGCTCCTTTGGTCAGCTGTTTCATTCATTCATTCGGCAAACGCTGGCAGAAGTTCCCAGCTAAGTCCTGAGGGAACAGACTTGAGCACACCGCAGACCCTACCCTCAGGGCTCCCGGTCACACTTGCCTGTACACTCCTCTTGTCCCCACTGCCAGGGTCCAGAGCCAGGTCTTATAAAGGAATTGCCAAAGCCTAATTTTAGCCCAAATGAGAAAGGCGTCCATGTCAAGGCCAGAAAACATGTTTCTCTTCCCAGCCAGATGCGCATAGAGGGCTGTGCGTATTCTCATCTGTCCATCATGTCCAGCCCCAGCCTCGGGGAGTGGCCCTGACTTCTCTTACCACTGTCTCTACCTGAAAGCTCTACCTGGGAACCACAGGAAGTGAACTCTGGAGCATTCTAAACCACGCAACCGAATCTCAGGTTGGCTAGGAGACTTTGAAGTACTTTTCTCTTTTTTTGTGGTTCAGCCAGAATATAAATAAAACATCATTTACAAATTTAACTCTATGCCACCACTTCTCTCTTGCATTATGAAGTAGCGTCTGCCCGTAGGTAACCACAAAAGACGGGTACGGGTTTATACCTGTAAGCCTTATATTTTGTTTATACCCCGACGTTTTTAGGAGCTTGGAGACCCACACAAAACCTCACACGACCAAATCATGAAGCCAGTGGGCTCCATTCTACTCCCTGCCCAGGTCTGTCCAATAGCACAATGTGCAAAGGTGGAAATATTTTGAAATCAATCTGGTTACCACGAGCCACATGCAACTATCAAGCACTTGAGATGTGGGCCGCGTGACTGAAGAACTGAATTTTGAAATTGAACACAGTTTAATTAACTCTGGGTTTAGAATTAAGTAGCCAGCGAGGCCAGTGGATACCCCTTGTGGTTTGTGGCACAGTATTGGCTGCTTCGAACTTGCCTGCGGGCCTCTCCTCTACCTACACAGGAAGCTTCCTGTGACCCACAAACAGGTGACAGAGGAAGGAAAGGCAAGTCGTGCAAAACAGGAACACATTTCTAGAAACCCTGCTCGCGTTCAGGGGGAGGGGCTCATCTGACTCATGGGACTGTAACAGGCGAGCTGGGTGCCCAGAGGGCCCCGCTATGGACTGTAGGATGGAGACCCTGGGCAAAGGGACACAGAGAAAGTGACGCTCTGCTTCAGTGGGCTTCCCCAGGCACAGGCCCTGAGTAAGAATTTGAAAGCAATGAGTTTATCTGAAAAAAGTGGGGAACTCCAGTTGGGATGTGGGGAAGTAAAATGGGAGCGGAAGATGGCCGCAAAGGGTACACACGAGTGGGTGACGAGGTCAAGCCTCTGGAGGACGGTGGAGTCGTGTCATGCACACTTCTCAGTTGCCCCATGGCAGGGCCAGGGGACCGGGTGCTAAACCCACTCTTGTCAGTAGCACAGGCTTCCGTGCACTTCCAAACAC